GGGGAGTTTATACGGTATGGGGTATTAAACACAGAGCGGCGATTACCTATGGATCGTCAAGCGCCGGCTGGGAGGGGCGGAGGAGGTTGGATGTGAGAGAATGTCAAACGCCCGTAATTACTCCCTCACCCTCACTTTGCGAGCTCGTGGCGTGGGCGTCTCTCTTGCTCCTCAAAATGTGTCACTGCTTTAAAGGGTGTCTTAAAGAGCGCAAAGAGGCGTCAATATAGACGTCGCACTGGCGCGCAGACAGTTTGGCTGGGAACGTAAAGTTGTGCGCCCCCGCCCCCTTCTTCTTGCCCAGCTCTCCCGGCCACAAAGATCTTTAGTAGAGCGGCACAGGTTTCTCCGGGCCGCTGCTCGCTCTGCTCCGCTTCATGCATATTCAGGTCCGCGGGGCGGGCTGAGGCCTCGGCAGCCGCGGCTGGGCGGGGGCGGGCGGGGGCGGGGACGGTTTCAGCCCCCCGACAGCCGCGGCTTGGCGCAGCCAAGGTGCAGCGCGCCAGTGTGTTTCCGTAAACGAGAAGAAAAGGAGCTCAACAACTTGGGAATGTAGAACGAGCGGAAGGGGAGCAGCGGGGGGGGGGCGCGCCGCACAGCAGCAGCAACCCCGACCTCACCTTCAACGGGAACTTATTCCTTGTTCAGAGCTAATTTGCAGCAGTTCGAACATCATTTATTCGTTTCATTTTCGCCACCCAGCTCCGCCCCGCCTCGACCTCCCATCCGCCAGACAGTAGCGGGTGAAAGAACAGATATTTGTGACGTTCGCCGGCAGACAGCGCAGCGCGGAGGTGGATCTAAAATAATTGGTTTAAGGGTCTGTGGACCGTGGCCTGGCCAACCCGCCCGGGCTTGGGGTGGGGGGCCGCGGCCCGGCGCGGCGGGGCGCGGTGTGGCGCTCGGTTGGGGACTAACTCATTTCCGGTCCGGACCGCCCACCTCTTTCTGCTCCCTCCTTTCACCCACCCCGGCGCTTCCGGCTCTGGCTGTATGGCCGGTCCATGCACAGCCCCCTCCCATCCTCCCGTATCGGCAGCGTCCAGTTTTATTAACATTCGCCCGCCCACCAACAACAACGCGTCCCTCTCGGCGAGAGCTCTCGCCCCAACGCCGCGCGTGGGCGCAACAAACCCAACCCCAGCATGCCCTCACCACCATTGCCCCAGGCCTCAGCCCACAGAAAGAGGACCTGTCTCGATTTTCAGCCCCGTTCCAGTCTAGGACTGCGTCGCGGGGCACCCAGCAAATACAGACAGTGTAAAGCGATATCCTCACCGAGCGAAGTGCGTGCAAACATTTTCTCTCTCTCATCACACACACACATACAAACACACGAGCGCATGTGGATACAGCAGAGGACGGCGCGTCTCGTAATTCTAAACCTCCTCTTACATCGTGCCTCAGCTCCATCTGGAGCGTGTCTCTCCCGCGCGAGCATCAGCAGCGGTGATGTGTGTCCTTAGTTCGTATTGCCAATCACATCAAGACACCTCTCCCTCTAGTCTTTGTTCGTACGGCGGCAAAAGAAAACAAATCGCTCCGAATGATAAAATGTAAATTGGGGTATAATAAATGGTCCCTCGTTTGCGTTGGAAGAAGTGGGGGAGGGCGGTCGCATCGGCCCATCGCAGCGACCCGCGCCTCTTTATTCGCCGCATTCCGCATTGCCGTTAACATTCGCGACCCGTTCTCACGCGTGCTCTCTCTCTCTCTCTCGCTCTCTCTCCCGCTGTCTCGCTCTCTCGCTTTCTCCCACCCTCCGATTGTATATAGCCTCCCCTTCTCGCTCACTCTCGCAGCAATATATAACTTCTCCGGTTTCAATATACGGCGGTAGTGGGGGAGAGAGGGAAGGGCGAGAGAAATGTATAGCGAGTGAGAGAGACGCAGGATGAGGGAGGTTGGACGCCGCCCAGCCAGGACCTCAACCGAGAGAGAGAGAGAGAGAGAGAGAGAGAGAGAGAGAGAGAGAGAGAGAGAGAGAGAGAGAGAGAGAGAGAGAGAGAGAGAGAGAGACGAGGCGCGGGAGAGGGGGTGGGAGAAAGAGAGGGAGGGGGAGGAGGCGGCTGCAATGCTACTTCAACCCCGCACTACTACTTCGTGCCGTCCAGAAACACGGCACTCTGTTTCTCCAATGAAAGGTTGCTATTATTTTTATTGCAAATTTTATTGTAAAATAAAATGCGAAGTGCTCGGTTGGACCGCGTTGGCAGCGGCCGAGCAGTTTTGCTAACGCCCTCTGTTCTCTGCGTGCGGGCGGGCCGGGCCGGGCCGGCCCCACCATCACCCGTTGTCCGTTCTGCCAAAAGGGCTCCAGGCCGGGCGGCTGCCGGGCGAGCCATTCCCGCACGCGCCTTTACGACTGCGAATAACGGGTGCGGCGTGTGACGTGTGTCCGGCGTTATGGGCACTCAAGTGCCGTGGTGTTTGATTAAAAGACGCCCCCTCCTCCCCTTTCACTTCCTCCTTCGGTCGGAATCCCTTGCTCTTTCAGCACTTTGCGAGAAATATTTACGACGGACGCTATGCCTACAATGCGGCGATGTTTCTCGTATTTTCCCCATTTCTCGTTTTCCATACTTTCTGTTTTGATGGATGACGTCGATATCGGCAGAGGTGATTGCGCCGTGATGTTGTCATCGTGATGGGGAACACATGTTCGCGTTACACGCGCGCGTGCGAGGTGATGGCGCGGTGACCACTCCATACCGGGCTACATATGATGAGTGATGATGGGGCTGGCGAGGGGAGCTGTGTGTCCACCCCCGACACCGCCACCTCGCCCGCCACGGCCGCAGCCATACCGCAGTAAACGCCCAAACAACTCTCACTACCTCGCAATTCTCCACCCCACGTCCCACGACTCTCAAACCTCCCGGCATATACTTGTCGCGAGGTGTTTCACGCTCTCCCCCCCCTCCTCCTTCCCCTTTCACACACACACACACACACACACACACACGTTTACATTTGTTTGCATACGCTGATGAACTCTTTTCACAACGCTGGAGGCAAACACCCGACGAAACCCCCGAAGAAGCTCTTGCGCTTCCCGTCCAACACCGGGCACACCCCCGCTCTATCCCTGAACCCACATTCAGCCGTCTAAACAACGCCCTCCCTCCATCCTATAGCACGGCCGTAAAAACTGTTCGTCGTTTTATAGTGATTGCATTGGGATCTAATCGAGTGGTTGTCTTGTTCCAGGTGGCGCTGTGTGACGACTACAGCCTGCCGGTGGACTTCGTGAACAAGCGGCAGAGCCTGCGCACCTGGCGGCCCCTCAGCGCGTGCGAGCCGTCCATCGAGCTGCTCGACACGTACTGCGACCCGCGCGACTCCAAGGCCTACCTGGTGCCCGGCGAGGACGCCACCGCCAAGGTCTACACCAGCCCGGACCGCGAGTACACGCACCCCTACGCAGGTGGGCACACGTTGTGGAACACTGATTGGTGCAACTCGCCTAACGCTTGTAAGTGTGCAACTGTCAGTAGTTTACTTACTTGCAAGCGTTCAATTGCAAGTGTAACACTTCCCAGACAGGAAGCGTCCACTCTAAGGAAGTATTCAACTAGCAGTTTCACACTTACATGTGTAAAGCAGTTTGCACACTTGATTTAGGCTGTATGTCTGTCCAAGGATTGTACCTGTCCTGTAAACGGGGGCGTAGGGTAGGGTTACAAGCCCAGCGGGCAATGTCCTGTGCGGGTACAGCGGGGAAGCTGTGGACAGCACAACTGTTCGGTGATGGGATGGCGCCTCGAATGGCGTACTGTACCGCGCCCCCCGTCCTGACAACAGATCTCCTCTTTCTCTCTCCTCCACCCACATTTCTCTCTCCCCATCTCTCTCTTCGCTGGGTTGATGCGCCCCACAGGCTCAAAATAATGGGAGCAAGTGCTCCGGCTGCCGCTGAGGCTGCCGGCGGGCACACTATACTCCATTAGTAAGTGGAAACTTTACGCTAATGTGTCTCGTAACGACCCTCGGGCCCGCGCGGCGGGGGCAGGGCCGGCGGGGCCCAGGCCACCTCATCGCGCCGCTCGAACTGACGGAACGTGTCTTAAATAAAGACAAGGCAGCGCGGAGCAGCAGGGTGCTCCGGCCGCCGTCTCTCGCGCGATATGAACCGGAAGTAGTAGAATTCAAATGAGCTTTAGCAGAACGGGGGGGTCTTTAAAAGGTCGCCCTCACTGTGTAAGGGTTTGTTGTGTTCTCCGACGGGGCACATGTTGATCGGGCTCTCCTCGACCCCCGTGCGCCGTCTTGTTATCAACCATGATGTCGAGTGTGGATGGAGGAGAGGGGGAGGCGCTGCTCCTGCCCGCGCTATCGAACTCAAACCATCTCGTCAGGAGAGAGCGTGGTGGGGTTGGAGGAGGAGGGGGTCGTGCGCGCTAACTTTACCCCCCACGCCTGCTCCACTGACAACGCGGTGGCGGCGGCGGCCTGATCCGTCGGGAGAAGAGGCGTCCGGGGGCGGCGGTAGTCGGGGGCGCGGCGGCGGGGAGGAGAGCAGGGTATTTTCAGGACAGGGAGTCGACCGGCCGGCCTTCGTTTGGAAGTTAATAACGAAAACTTTGCGATCCACTCTCGCGACTGCTCGTATAAACTTGATCTCCGGGTGTGATTTAGAAGGGCGACGGGCGACGACGAACCGTCGGTCACGTGCCTTAGTGGAGTGGGGGGGGGGGGGCACTGCAAGTGAGAGAGCCACGCCCCGATGGCACTTTCAGATCAGTTTTCGCTCAGCAGACTGGCAGCGCGAGGGCCGCAGCAGCAAAGAGTCCCCCCCCCCCTCCTCACTGCCAACTTCCGCCTCAATTTGCCGTTACAGCAGGGGATAGAGGGCGTCATTATGAAACTGATCACAAACTGGTCACATTTACGAGCGAGTTGTCTCCGATGTATTCACAGTATGCGCGCGGCGCGGGCGAGGGGATTCAAATTTTCGCTGTCCCGCGACGAACAGACAGGCGCTCTCGGGTTAAGGGAGAAGTGGGAGGGGGGGGGATGGCATGGCCCTCCTCCCCTTTACGAAATTAAGGATAACCGTCCCGCACAGACACGGGCCCTCATCAGCGCGGCGGGCGGGCGCAGCGGCGCGGCTCTTGTCCTGAAAGCCGGTATAATTGTTCATTACTCGGGGATTTGTTCGCGCAGGGGGCACCACCCGCCCACTGGAGTGTAGTGGCTAGAAATGCGCCGCCGTTGTCGTGTGAGCGTCCTGCGTTCTGCCTTGCACTGCAACACCCCCCTCCCTCC